CACGTCACCTTTGAATTGGCAGTGGTTGAGAGGACGAAGAGAGGATCTGGTGTAGCTGGGAGGGCAGCAGACAGGACGTCCTGTGAGAAGCAGGATTCCCAGCCTCTGTCAGGATGTGAAAACCACTGACTAATCTTAATTAATCCCGTTTGCTTCCAAATCGCTGTATAAACTAGCAGCACTGGGACAGAGAGAGTCTGGGGTATCTACTCTCCCACGTGATTTCTGATGTACTATGAAAGAAAGTTATTGGTGTACCTGTCTATTTGTTTATCTGTCAATCCATCCATCTACAAAGAAAGCCTATTATGAATTTCTATGCTAGTCTATGCTGGCAGGTGCTGGTTTAGTGTTGTTCAAGTTGGCAGACCACACCGCTCACACCGCTCATCAACGGATCCTAGCTGCTGAAGCTGAAATATGACCAGTGACAAGTATTGTCAGATAAAATAGATAAAATACATTGTATATATAACGTCTGCATGAATACAAATAAAGAATAAAGAATCAGTATTTCTTTAAATTCATGGTTAGCCTATTAATTGAGTGTCACCAGAAAGTACAGAATTTAGTGTGCTTATTCAAAGTATATGCACATAGATTATAAACGTAATGTTAAAATAAAGGGGTTGAAATAAAGTTTTAGTAAAAATAAAAATATTTTGCTACTCTGCGAGGCTATAACCATATTTAAGATTAGTGATAAAATTAAAGGGTTAGTTCACCCCAAAATGAAAATTCTGTTATTAATTACTCACCCTCATGTCGTTCCAAACCCGTAAGACGTTCGTTCATCTTCAGAACACATATTAAGATATTTTTGATTAATGTTCCCAGGTCCAGAAACGTAGTAAGGACATCGGTAAAACAGTCCATGTGACATCAGTGGCTCGACTTCAGAGCTTTTTGAGCGCGAAGAAAACAAAAATAACAATTTATTCAACAATTCTTCTCCCCCGAGTTACGTCTTCCGCCATTTTGGAGAGTACCCATGAACGTAACGTAATCTGCGTAATCAGCATTATTTACGCTTAGGGGAAAGCGTGCGTATGCATTGTGATACTCTATCAAATGGAGGAAGACGTAACTCAGGGAAGAATTGTTGAAAAAATTATGTTATTTTTGTTTTCTTTAGAATTGTTGAAAAAAGTATGTTATTTTTGTTTTCTTTGCGCTCAAAAAGTATTCTCGTAGCTTCGCAAAACTGAAGTTGAGCCACTGATGTCACATGGACAGTTTTACCGATGTCCTTTTCTGGACCTGGGAACATTACAGTTGCGTTGCTGTCTATGCAGGGTCTGAGAGCTCTCACATTTCATCAAAAATATCTTAATATGTGTTCCGAAGAAGAACGAAGGTCGTACGGGTTTGGAACGACATTGAGGGTGAGTAATTAATGACAGAATTTTCATTTTTGGTTGAACTATCCCTTTAAATAATCAGCCATAAAAAATCCCACTTTTTTAAGCACTAATCTGAATATTGGGATGGATTTGGTTTAGGAATGACTATATTAATCCTTGAAAATAGTACCATTTTTAATTAAATTCTCATTTCCTATTTCGGTAAATGTAAATGAAAGGAAATGACAACAGATAGGCTACATTATTGTAAAATAATGCCTCATAATCTTTCCTAATCTTACTACTATGCAGGCATCCAGTGTGTTCACTGATGAGATGAGTGACATGCATGTGCTTATTGCCCAATGCAAAATTAACTCCTCATGACAATGCATTCTTCTGACTCCACACATCTGCTATTTGCCAGCAGGCTACCCCTCAATCCCCCTTAAAAGCTTTTCAAAATGTAAAAAAACAGATGACTGGTTCTGTTTCTGCCAAAAGTGTGGTTTCCCCTTTTCTTTTCCTGTAAATCTGTCTTCACTCAGAGCCGGGGGGGGGGGCAAGCAGCTTAGGATGTGTTTTCTGATATTTCCCCATCCGTTTGGCGGATGCTCAACTATGGTATCGCTAGAGGTGTCAACCATCAAACTGTTTTACCATGTTTGACCTTGTACTGCAGCTGTCTGCTTTAAAATAAATGCTAAATCATTCAATTCATACTCATTTATGTATCCACCCCTCCACTCCCTTGGTGCCCTTCAAATTCTTTTTCTGTTGCCCAGAATAACTCACCTTGACCAGCCTTCATCCTCAAACACCACGTTCATTCTTTCGCTGACTCATTTGTCTCTCTTTCACTCACCAGAGGGTGAAGGTCAGAGATCATCTGCAGTAGTCTGAGCAGGTGCTGTCTGCCAGCCTGGTCCAACTGGGACATCATCGCCGTCAGCTCACGGATGTGTTGATGGATGGGCTCTGGTTGTCGTGGATACACAGATGGCAGCACTCTCAACAGCATGGCATTACCTATCAAAACCAATAATTAATCAATACAGCACACTTCTCTTATGGAAAAATGACCATCGTAGCCATAATGTATGCAAAAATACCATAGTTATTGTTAGTAAAGTAACACACACACACACACACACACACACACACACACACAAAAAGTGAAAAACACAATGAATGATGAATTGAACCTCCAGCAAAGTCCAAAAAATGTGGACTGTGGTGAAAATGTGCATGTCATTTCCCCTGCAAAACTGAGTGAGGGCTGATTCATTATTTAAGCCCTTTTCTTGATAAATGCACTGTTGTTGATGTTCGGATTTTATTGCCATTTGTTTCCTCATTAATTTAGTTGAAAATGCCAGGCCTTGCTGTTTTAGCTGACACACATATGGCAAAAATGATCTCTCAGAGTAAAAAGACTTAAAACAAAGTCGTGATTTATACTAAAAGAACACAAAGATTTGGAATTCAAAATTAAGTGTAAACAGGTAGGTAAATGTAGGTCATTTAAAAGCCATTCTTCATCTGGAAACAATCTATAACTTGGTGAATCTGAGCACAAGAAAGGTCTTGGTTTGCAGTTTGAGGAGCTCCATGAAGTAAGTGTAGGAACAGGAAGTGAAAAGACACCATGATGCTAGATCATGGAGTCGAGTTGCGAATGGATGGCACCAGTACCAATAAAATCATAGCAGAGGGTTTCAAGTACCAGTCAGTAACCTCTGAAGTGTGACAGTTATGACAACATGTGGCACATTTCACTACTGCAGACAAAAAAATCCATTTGAAAAACAAATCAGATTTGCATGCTGTGAAAAACAATCATGTAAAACTAAATTTGCAATAGCCCTTTTAAGCAAAGACTGTAGCAAAACTCCAAAATTTCCCTTAGATGCTATGTAATGGGCCGTTGAAAAGTTTACTGGAAGATTATGGTGAACAGACTTTGATGAATTAGTCTACCAATTTCCATGACCGTGCTCTTACTAACACTCTGATTGAGTGTCATGAACAATTTTTACTGATCATTCACTTACCTGCTAAAAGAAATGCCACTTCATCATTAACAAAATATGGTAGGAAACTCCCACCCAACATCAACAACAAATCTAATCTCTGCACTGGCAAGCCATCTAAGTCAGGGCGGTCGGTTAGCGGACATAATTCTGAAAACGAGATGTTTCGTCTGGCTCAGGGGGGACATTTAGGATTGCAGAAGACCTGCCCACCTGTTTCTACATACAACGGGTGATATTAATGAAGGATTAGTGTTATACATAACCTTTCATAATGAGACAGCTGGGGAAACGTTGCTGGCCCAAGACAGTTCATTGGAAATATCGACATTCACTTTCAAAGACCACATGAGATAAGACATTTAATCTTTGCCAGGTGTTTTGGAAGAAGGTATCTTTATAGTTTTAGATAAATTTCAACCACTAACGAGTATAACTAAAAGCAAGTAACCAAAAGTTATAGCCGTTTCCCTAGAGTTTTTCTACATCCATATGTATGTGATCTTTGGTTTTCCATCATATGAGCAGAGGTTGTGCCAAAAAATAAAAAAACAGCTTATCTGACTATATGTTAATATTATCGTCTGATGTACAGTAGATGTAGATTACTATAGTTTTTTTAAATAGTTATATATA